AGTGTTTGTTCTATTTTGAAGTTTCCAATGACACATGCCATAGTTGGACACCCCAGATCCTTGTATTTTGGAGTGATTTTGTGTTGAAGTAGGGCACTAACTTGTTCTGTCAAGAAGGCTATTTTTTGGACATTCTAGCTTCTCTTGACTATGCACAAGTCTTTAAAAAACTTGGCATAAGATGAAACCTGTTTGATTGTGTCGAGAAGTGGGATGTTGATTTTTACTTGCTTAAAAAGCTTCTAAATTTTTGGCTGGTTATTCAACTATTATTTTGAGTCTATGAGGAAAAGAAGCAGGAATGGGCTATGAAGGTTCTCTTTCCTTTGAAGGTTTTGGTTCTTGTTCAATCATAGGCTTAGGTTCTTCTTCAATCAAGAGTTCAGGCTCTACTGGTGCATTGACTGAGATTGACTCAGGTTTTGACTTTGGAATTAGTTTTTCTCTAATGGTCTTGTCAATTACTCTGACACTTCTCAGTGTAGTGACAACTTGGGCTTGGTCTTGTGGGTTTTCCACAATTGAAGGGTTTCCCACATGAAATTGGCCTTGTGACTATTTTGGTTGGGCAGGAAACTTGCCTTTCTCATGTGTGGTCATGGATTGGGTCAACTTTTGGATGTGACTTTTAAGATCCTCGAAAGATTGAGTGGTATGAGTTTTGAAATCAGTAAGAGCCTGAGTGAAATTATTGTTGTAGTTCATTTGACTTTGCATGAACTAATTCAGTGTGTCCTCAAGGCTCCTCTTTTGTTGTGGTTGGTATGGTTGATATGTGGGAGGTCCTTGAGGTGGGTTCATGGGAGTTGGTTGTGTGTTCTTACAACTGAAGTTCGGGTGGTTCTGCCATCCTGAATTGAACGTTTCAGAATATGGGTTGGAGTAAGACTTGTTGAAGTTGGAAATTACATTTGTTTGCTCCAACAAGACCTCTTTGAATGCTAAAATGGTAGGACACTCCCCAGTAGGGTGTCCTATCAAAGCATAAATCCCACACACTTGTTCTGTGGGAGGGCCAACATCAACTAGATGGACCTTTTTCATCTCTAGAGTTTCCAGCTTTCAAGAGACAAGGTAGTCATTTTCGCTCTTAGGTCGTCATCATCTCTCAAGACATGCTTACTCCCTTGGGAAGTAGATGGTTTGGCTTCAACAGTGGTTGGAGAGGCTGAGTCTCACATCAAAAAACTATTAGCTATGGTGTCAAAAAAATTGAATGCCTCATCTAGACTTTTTCCTATGAACTCTCCTTGAGCCATCATTTCAAAAAATTGATATAGTCTAGTGGGCAAGGAGTCATAGAAAATCCCACCAATTCTCAAAAGCATGGTGTGGGCAAGATTGGAGAAGATTCTTGAATCTCTCCTAACTTTGGTAAAAAGTCTCTCCTTCTTTAACCGAAAAATTCATGATTTGCTTTTTGAGTGCATTAGTGCGGTGTCAAGGAAAGAAATTTTTTAAAAATTTATTTTGTAATGCCTGCCAGTTAGGTTTAGAAAGAGCTTTTAAAGAATTTAGCTATTGTTTAGTTTTGTCCCTTAAAGAAAAAGGAAAAAGTTTCAACTTGGCCAGCTCAGAATTGTCTTGAAATGTTCCACATACTTCCTCAAAATCTTTTATGTGCAGATACGAGTTTTCTAATTTGAGTCCATGAAATAGAGGGTGTAGTTGAACTGTCCCCGTCTTTATAGTAAAGAGGGGCACATTTGCGGGAAAGATAAAACAAGAGGGGACACTATTTCTTGTGGGATACAAATAATCCCGTAGAGTTCAGATGTTAGGAACTTCCCCCTCTCTCACATGATCTTCCCCCTGTCTTACTGGAACTTCTCTTTCTCTCTTATTATTTGCCATGCTATTCTCAAAAGAGCCAGCTATTGATCTGGGTGAATATGGTTCAGACTGATTTACAGATCCTACAGATTCTTCTAGCAAAATTTGAAAGTGAGGATCATCCTTAGAAATAAAATAAAAATTTGTACTCAATAAAAAAATTATATATCTATACAAAAAATGAAGGTCTTTTCACCTTTTCCTTAAAAACACTTTTTATGGTTCCCCGGGAACGGCGCCAAAAGTTTGGCTTGATCTGAAATGTGTATACCCAAGTTTAGGCATTCAAGCTATAGTAATAATCTGGTTAAGTCCAAAGTTGAATCCATAGGGAATTATTGTCGGTGTTTCAAAGTAAGTAGTGATAGAGATCAAGTAACTGAAAACCTTGAGATTTAAAGTTATGAGATTTTCTGGACAGAATATAAGATTCTTTCCAAGTGGATTTTCTAGACAAAATATAATAAATTATCAAATGTAACAGTCACCCTTTAGCTCGGGGATCTGAACATGTAGTTAATCATCTGGTTTATTATACTTGTGCTTGGTAACTCAATTAACCCCGGTGTCAACATAAAGTTAATTGAAAGATAAAGATGGATTGTGAGAATTAAAAGCATGATTACGATGTCATTGTAGAGGTTTACAAGAATTGTTTGTGCCAAGATTCAACCCATCTACAAACAAGCAAGTATCTCTACACGACATCCAACCATTGCATTAATATTCCATTCTTTAAATGAAGCACAATAATGTTGAAAATTGAAAATGTAGTCATAAAGATCTAGTTGGGGTAATTGCTTTGAACCAATGTGTCTTTTTATGCAAGAGTCATCTATGCCATAGAAAGCACCCACAGTTATACAAAGTACCTTAGGTTTTCTAGATGCAATCAATCATTCAATAAGCAAGTGTAATATAAAGCATTAAACATAAACGAGATGCACAAATATAATTTACAGATGATTTATACATGTCCATCACCTTTTACTAAAGAGTGAATGAGAAACTACTCACTCTTCATGGCTTTGGTAAAGCTAGAAAAGTGAGTGATGCTCATCCCTCCAAGTAGGGGGTTACAAAGTAAAACACACTAAGCAAGGAGCCGATCTTCGACGAAAAATGAGTGAATCACATTCTACCCTTAAACAGATCTTTCCCTCCACACCAATCACGAGTTTTTCTCCATTCCTCATTGACTTCAGAAATGGTAGTAGTCTTCTTACAGGAACCCGGCTTGCTTCATTAAATTGACTAGTAGAAGAGCGTCGTCATTCACTGATTTGGTATAGCACTAGAAAAGTGGAAGAGTTTCACTCCTCTAAGGGAAGAAGGAGCTCAAACAATGGAAGCAAATGAAACTAATAAAGAAAGTAGAAGAAAACTAGTCATTTTTGGAAGGTTTCCTCCTCAACCAAAGATGATCTATCTTCCTCTATGCAAGTAAATGTAAATCTAACTCTAACTAGTTCTAGCTCTATATAAGTCTCTCCAAGTCCCCCCTTTGAAGCTCCCACAATGGGAGTATTTGTAGGCAAGGAGGAGGAGGCAAGGGAGTGTAAAAGAATAGTGCAAGGCCTTCAAAGTCTAAGTTAAAGACAACCACTCTTCAGCCAATCTGAGGACCACGTTCGAACGTGGTCTAGCGTTCGAATGTTGTCTCTTGTCTTTGCTTGATGGGCGTTCGAATGCCAGATGGGGTTTGGAACTCTTACTCAATTGGCCTATGTTCTTATGTGAAAGCTATTTCCGTATGCCATGTATCATTGCCTTTGCACTCAGTAGCCTGATCCTCAATAATTCAGGACAATGTTCGAACATGGATTGGCGTTCAAACGTTGTACTCAAGCACCTCTGTGTTTTCCTTCATTGTTGCAACACGCCATGTATCAGCACTTCAGTAGTATGGTCTTCAAAGATTTCAAGAGAACATTCGAATGTGGATTGGCATTCAAACGTTCCTGTCTTGTTTCAAGCTTCTCCAATTTTCTTCCAGAACATGTTAGTGTTTGCATGAAAGTTTGATATTTGTTGCCTTTGGGCCCTTGTACAATTATGTCCTGAAATGTTATCATTTAAACTCCATCAAAGTATAATTTGTCTTAAAAAGGCATAATAATATGTTAATTTTAACTACTAATCAACAGTCCCTGTAGAAGACCGCAGTTGGAGTCTCAACTTCTATAACGGTACAAAGGCTAGCTCTAGTACACATAGGAGCCACAGTCAGGGAAGGAGTGGCGGCACCACCAGGTCCTATCTCCTGGGAAGTAACCTAGCCATCGGACTTTGACCTAGAAGAACTAGGGCCATCAAACCTTGCCCTCTTGGGAGGGGGGAAGACACCACCCTAAAAGCACATAGAGTCTCCACCATCGCCCTATCAACAGGCCGCTAGTAATTAGAAAAAAAGTATGTATAAAGAACCAGCACCGAGAAAACATTAATGTGAAAAAGGATTGGAGAAAGCAGGTTCACCTCTTACCCAATGGAAAGCCATCATAGTCTCCCGCTCTGGTAAAATCCCAAAATACCAATCTGTCGCCCACGAATGCCTGATAGCTGTCTGCCAGAATGTAGCTTCCCACCACCATCAGTTTCAATAATTTGTGCTTAAAACTCAAATTTAGAGAGATTGAAGCATTTTTGGGGAAAATTTGTTGACCAAAAAGCCTTTGGCATTTGTATGTCGTAGATCTCAAAAAAATTCTCGAATTCAAATTTTTTTTTTTGACTCAAATCGACAATCATGCGCAAAGTTATGACCATTCAAAGTTTTGCCATTTTTCATGGTTTTCTAGTACTCCGGCCAGCGCCCCAATGTGCTCCTTTCCTCTGGTGTCGCCCAGGCCTCCATGGTGTCGCCAAGACCAACCTTCTACTCCAAGGCGTTGCCTCCTATTCCAAGCCAGCACATAGTTCCAGCAGCCAGCGCTCAACGTTCAACGCCTAGCTCCCAGCGCCCAATGCCTTGTGCTTGGTGCCCAGCACCCCAGGCATCACCCTTCACCTTCCTCTCCAATAGTGCAAGAGGCAGCACCTATGTCCACAGTAACATCTTCATCACTTAGATGCAAACCGAGGTCGCCCAAGCTTGCCAGGTTCACCTCGCAAGGGACCCACGAGAAATGGGCGTCACTTGCCAGGTTTGCCTCGCCTCTCACGAGCTACCAACTGCCCTCGCCAAGGATACATGTGCCATGGCCGCCACCAACATGGGCACCGCCCAGGCCCTTGTTGTCCACATCCTCCATGCCATTAACAGGACCAGCTAACTTGGCATCATCCTGATCCCAAGAAGCCTTGGCGCTGCCTTTTGGAGTGGCATTTGGCACCGCCTTTTGGAGCATGGCACCACCCGCTGGCATGTGATTGGCGTCACCTTTGCCAAGGACTTTGACCTCCTCTATTATTCTGCTGAGTTTGGCCATGTCATTCCCTCTAGCACCTTCTCTGTGGAGCTAGCCCTTGCCTTCTTTAATGGGTGCAACCATGAATGGCTATGGATCTATTTCAAATATTGATGAGATATCATTAGAACCCGATTTCAACTATGACCCACTTCCCTAGATCTCCACCTCCTCTTGGATTTAAAGAGTGAAGAAGATGAACTCTGGAGGTGTACAGAAATGGAAAGATGAAGATGTTATCGTGGGAAGCAAGCCACCTAGAATGGAAGACTCATTCGTGCCCTCAACCCCTTCACTACCATCAGGGCCTAGGGCATGGGGGGGGGCAAATGATGAGTCAAAATCTAACTGGGCCTAGTCCATTAAATCAAGCTAGCTCGAGTGAGCTAAAAGCCAGGCCAAGCTCACTTTATCAATCCGACCTAGTCCAAGATGCAAGCAGCCTGGGATGATAAGAGCATGTGGGAGAAAGACTATCGGGATACATATTCACGAAGATCAATTCTACCTTAATTGTACTTACCTTTTGTAACTATCCTCCTCGAAGAAGTAGTGCCTTCACACTCACATCACCGCCTTACCATACCTATAAATTGTAAGCTCTCTCTATATGGGGAAGCATCTCTTAACACATCTCACCACACCTCTCTACACACATAGCTTCTCTCTCCTAGCTATTGTACCTCTCCCATAGCACACCTCTCCTGGAGCTTTCTTTCTCCTACTTTATTCATCAATAAAGAGACATCAGCCACCGTTGTCATTCCCGAGAGTGGAGTAAGTCATCCGAAATAAACAACTATATATCTGTGTGTTGGCCCGATATTTACTGTTTTACTATTGATTGCTTTATTTATTGTCCATTAATTTTACCTTATCACACACTCAACTATTGATCTTGCACGAGACCAGTTTTGTGCATCATCAATGAGTATTGCTTTATTTACCGGTGAGTGATATTATTGGACTGGTCTTTTGGTGGGAAATGTTCTTCATTTTAGATAATGACAAAATTTCATTACTACCAACCCAAAGAAATAAGACTTCTTTGAGATACACGATTTATGCCAGAAAGGTACGAAGTTGGACTAATTTGTTGATACTTGAGAATGTCAAGGAACATACAGGCAAGAAGAGACCCCCTAACAATTTTTCCCGAATAAAGTTAAAATCTAATTCAACATGTTTTGTGTGAGCATGAAAAATTGGATTGTTTATGTACGAGATGGGTGATTCATTTGAGATCGACTATATAAGATGTCATACTCCTATACTCAGCCTCATAATTGGAACGAGAAATAGTAGTTTGCTTTTTAGAGGACTAGGAGATAAAATTAACGTCCAGGTAGACACCGGAGCCACTAGTAGATTGATGAGGTGCCGGGACACCCAACGTAATTGGCACCAAGAAAACATGTAGATTAATAGAAGTATGGGAGAGCAAAAGAAAACCAAAATCCATAGTGCCGTTAAGATAACGCAAAATGCGTTTAACTAGCTAAAAAGGAAGATTGTTGACACTTTATTTATAGTTAGATTGAATAATTGATTTATATTGAATAGTTGTGACTATTAGAAAATCTATTATTTGAATAGTTGTGTTTATTAGCAAAAGTCATTATTTGAAGAGATGTGTCCATTGGAAAAAGACATCTAGTCAGAAAGATTGTGACTATCAAGAAAAAAATACTTCTTTAGAAGAGTCATAACTTTTAAGGAAAATGCATCTATTTGGAAGGTTGTGATTTTTGGGAAATGACACCAAGAAATCTATAAATAGAGCCCTATACTTTGTTCCCCAATACACTAGAGTTCTATATATCTGATCTTTCTTTCCATCTTTCTCTCTTAGAATTAAAATTGCTCAAGGAGATTTCTTTGGAATTTCTTCAATATTAGTAATTGCAGCTCCTCACCCAAAGGATTTGTTGGAATATTTTAATGAAGTAGCCTTTATTAATTATCTAATGTATATTGCAATAATTTCACCTTTATTTGTATCTTTATTTTAATTTGATTATACAAATTTATTTATATCTTTAAAGGCCACATGAGTTACAAGTTTAACCATTAGTATCTACATAATGAGAATTATAATGGTGAAACTTAGTGGTCCATAAGTTGCATATATTATATTCATTGTGAAAATTATTTGGTGAGAATTATATTGATTTTGGTCAATAAATTATAAAGACCAAAATATGTTCTATTGTTTGAGTGACAATGTAGGAAGTTCTTATGTCTTCTTCTCTTTTTATGGTGTACATTAGGTTATATTTTTTCGGGCAAAGATTCATGTTTATTTCTAATTTTATTTGGATTGAGTTCTAACAATTTTAAGTCGGTTAGTCTCTTTTTGTTAGATTACTAAAAAACATGAAAATTTACTCGTAAGAAATAGTGGGGCCATAAAGCTGAGACAGTTTAGTTTTGATGGAGTCCATGAAACATGTTCATAAAAGTTGGATCCACTAAAGTTGATCAAGCCATAGTTTTGAAATTTTTTCTTTCATATTGATCATATAATTTAGTCTAGATAAATATTAAAAAAAGATTGATGTATTAAACATTGATTCAACTTCCAATTTCGATTAATGGGCATATATTAGAATTCAATTTTTTGTGACGGCTACACTTTTTTGTTATCTATCTACCATTACTAGAAAGCAACATCAGGACAAGCCTAACGTTAACACTAACCAAAGAAACGACACTGAGCTAGAAAAACTTGAGTGACTTTTAGCTATCAACTTGATCTCAAGTTGGGTCTAAATTTTATTTGCAACTTGTTGTTCCAAGTGAAGTGATTATGTGTCAACTCATCTAATTTTCTGTCATAGTTAGTGCAAGAACAAGGCAAAACTTCTATACCACTTCTTTTTCTTAAGATCAATGATATTGGGAATTTGATAACAAAAAATTGTGATGGCCGAAACCCACTATTGTTTTTAGATGGAAAATACATTCAAGTTCACTGGGTGCTTGTTGAGAAATATTGTAGCATGTGTTTTCGGAAACTAAATTGTAGAATCTCATTGGATATATTTATGCAGTGTTATGTTATGAGCTGAATTCATATGACCAAACTAAGGCTTGTGACCTATTTTGTTATTTATAGATTTAGCATGCATGTATTACAAAGATGGAAAATAGAACGCCTTCTTGCTGGGCCATGACATGCATTAAGAGGAGAAATTAGTATTTGAGAAACAAATAAGCTTGAACAAAAAAGCTATTATTTAACTGGTACATTATACGTGGTGCGCATATTGAGATGATGGTTTGTTTATGTCCTAGTGAGATATTATGTGAAACAGAGAATTTAAAATATGAGATTTGTATATGTGATGATTTATTTATATTTGAGGCTTTGAAAATTCTATCTCAGTTCATGATTTATTTGAAAGTGGGATTTTTAGGGAAATGTGGAGATCTTATATGTGGGCGTTATAAACCTTTAGGTTTTTGTGGCGATGTTGAAATTTCATTGCAATACTATGCTATAATTGTGTGGTCATTTATTTATTGAATTCCATCTTTGATGAAAAGTGCGCATAGAGATTTTGTCACAATATCACGAAAGAAATGTATGTCAAATTTGGGAGAGCAAAATAATTTATATTCTGCCAAGATGGAGATTTTTATTGACTGTGAAATTTTATGTGCATTTTAGATTATGCCGTGAGATGTATAAAGACTAAGATACAATAAAATGATACCTAGTAAGCAAAAAGACTACTGGTCATTATTGAAAAATGAGGAAGCTTATATGGACCCTATTTACTTGATGGGTCTCTATTTATGTCCCTTGTGATGGAGAATTCATGGTGGGTTGTGTTGCCTGAGTAAATTATTGTATTGGCCTACGATAATATTGTGATAATGTGTAGCTAGCATATTATTAGTGGTAATATTGTAAAGAATATTACGCTATTTTATAAAAAAAAATATCACTGTACGACAAAGGTTGTTGTAGATAATGAGAAATAGGTTGGTGATCTATTGTGCACAATTATTATTTGAAAATGTCACCTATTATGTATGTCAATAATATTATTGGTGTAGTGCTAAAGACTAGATAGAGGCAAATGTCTAATGTACATCGAGAGGGATGAGACTTAAGCCCAAATATTTATTAAGTTGCCTATGAGGATACCTTACCTAAAAACTAGATATCCCAAGAATTGGGTTAAGTGGACAAACAAATCATAGAGTGGCTTGTTATGGGACATGCACTATCTAAGTCTTAATGACTCATTGTGTGACACCCAAAAATCCAGGGGGTCCCTTCTCGACTCATTGATCTCCCATCAACCTGTGGAAGTATCCGTGAGTACCATATAACCTGATACCACGTTGTTATACTCCATTCACTGGGATCATAACCAAAATGGAATTTGGGCAGAGTCTCCTTTGTACGGGGGCACTACCTAATACATAACATGTTCACACATTAATCACATGACCATTCCAAGGTCTAAACCCCAGAGTGTAGGCTTAAAACTTAGCTAATTATACCATCCAATGAAAAAGAACCTAAGATATGAAGGCTTGACAACGTTACATTTAAAATTCAATTTCTGGGAAGAGGTATTCCTACCTTGAGCAAGTGGTACTGGTACCTAAGTCCTCTGTTTGCCAAGTACCGATACCTGTAAACATTGGTACTGGTACCTAGGCTCACTTTTTTCGAGGTACCGGTACCTGTGAGCATAGGTACTAGTACATGAGCCCACTGTCCATCGGCGTACTAGTACCTGTTTGCCTAGGTACCGGTACTTGAGCTTTTTGGATGCCAGGTACCTGTGTGGTACCGGTATGTAGAGCCCAAATTTTTCCCAAATATCCCAAAATCTAACTTTTAGCCATTCAATGCATACCACACCCATTCCATTCATTCATTTTACAAAAGAATAATGTCTCATTATCTGCCTTAGTCAAAATACAAGTTTGTACATGATTAATGCTAGACTCAAAACAAAATATACATGAGATTACAACATGTAATTTAAGAACCACAACCTGCTCTTTCTTCAACATGGGCCCAAGTT